ACTAGTGTAAGGTTTTCGTCTGAATTTCATTTCTTTAAAAAATTTAATAGTTTCGTCTATCATTGGGACTTATTTATTACTAATATGTTATGAATAATCTAAAACATCAATGTAGACCGAGGTTGGGAATTTAGACTACTGGATCAAGAATCAGTGATCTAAAAACATCGTACCTAAAGCTCCTACGTCTTAGCTTGTATAAAATCACTAGGAATAAAAATACAAAAGACAATTCAATACAAGACAATAATAAAAGACAATACAAGACAAGGATGCACATATTCCAATAAAGAATGACTAAATATGATTCTTAATATCAGAAACTAGTAAAGACAAGCCTTTACAAAATATGTACTTGACACTTAAATTCTGCTCCTAAACTATTGAACACTATCTACAAATATCAAACATAAAGCAATGCTTATATGGATCAGATTATGATAAATTGAATTAAAACTAGAACAGTTGTCTTGTCCATTATTCAATTCTTTTGTCATGATTCACTTCAGTAACATAATTTCATAATGAAATTTATTTGAAATTCAAATAATAAAATCATGAGTATATAATGAATTAAAACAACTCTGCCTGTAGCTCTTCCGTGGGCTAATGCCTGTTCCAAGCCCAGATAAAAGAGAATTGGATAGAACTAGAAGGGAAGGCCCAGGACAGAATGGGTTGTAGAATGCTGGTCGGCGGCCTATGCTCCATTGAGAGTAACAGGCGTAAGTAAGTAATGAATGAATGAATTAAAACAAATAATAATATCCAACTTTAAAAATAATAACAATGATCCAATGAACTGAATGAAACAAGCTAAGTAAAATAAAACATTTACTATCTCGATTCATGATAAAGATATAACACTCATCGAGTAGATACGTTACGTAATAATCATATAATGACATATCGATTATTAGAGTTGGAAGAAAAAGGATTAATAATAATCAAAGTAATTAATCGAAAATCAATCTGTTGCTACGTTTCATAATATCTAAAAGAAGAAGAAAGAACTCACAAAATATTTTGATGAATGGTCAGTAATAAAGTAGTTTATGTAAGAATCAAGAGACAAATATTGAGAATAAGTAAAATAGAAGAAATAGAAGGAATACGTAAACTGTTTACCTAAATTCTGCTACAGACTCCATTAATACTATTTTGGTATTTCTTTAAAATAAAACATTTCATTCCATTAACCTTATTTTAATTTATTCACTTAGAAATATAGTTTTCATTTTACAAATTGAATAAACATTATGTCATAAATGCTTTTAAAAGATTTGGTATATTATGATGGCTTAGTTAAAACTTATCTATTTAACTAACCATTAGACATTTTTAATATTCATATATATATTCACTTTATTTTCATGAGATTGTTTTGTAACAGCTGTCTTTTACAAATGACAGATGATATTTTTCAATGCAATCAACATTCATTTCGTTGTTTCATTTTGTTAGAATGAGTAGAAGAAATGATAGAAATTAATAGTGAAAATAAAATTAGCCATATGTATTAATTAAATGTTCATTTAATATTGTGGTATGTACTACTTATGTCGATATAAGTAGTATATAACGCTAATCAAGAATAGAATATCTGGTAAGAGAAGATTGAGAAGATCGTAGAGGAAAGAATGGGAGCAGAAAGTAATTGGTATGGAAATGTAGGAACAATAAAATCTGAGACAATTAATGAACATTTTCCAAAAATAAGTATTGAAGTATGGTTTTTCTATTTTTATCAAGTAACTCTGTAATTTTATGCTGAAAGTAATTGGTTGTCCTCAACTGTGTTCTAATTCACTATCACATAACGTTTCACTAGCATCTCTTTTTCTTTGATGAGTTGTTTTTGTGTTTTCTTATACAAAGTAATCTGGTTATAGATCGTATACATAAATACGTAAAATGTTTTATATACGATTTTATTATTTTATGGACTATAAAATGAGATGCAAATTATTCTTCAATGGAATTCACAAGATATGTTTTGTTCAAATTGAATGATAATATGATACTACGTACTATGAATAATCGAAAGGAAGGGACTTATAGACAATCTCAACATATTAATATACTATTGATCGGAGTGCAATAGGAATTATCAAAGACTAGAAATTTGGCAAGATGGATTGTGCAATAATTGAGAATTATTCGAGGATTTCCTTAAATCATTCGATGAACACAAAGGCATTTCAAAAGTGGATAATCTCAAGATAATTAAGTGAATATATGATGAAATGTATTGAAGCATGGGTAATTAAAAAGTTAATTTACTTCGGTAATGATAAGTTGACAACCAGATTTTCCCAATTCATACATCGCTTTCGAGTTTTTGTCAAAAGCTCCATGAGCAGAACGTAATTAGATTTATTTCTCTTGTTTAACAATTTCACATGACCTAAAAAAAGCAACAGGAAGATTCTTGTAAATTAAATTTCATGTTATTACACAAAAAAATATTTTGCCACTCTTTCATCACAAACACTTTGGAACCTCATATTCTCAGCCTTTATTAGATGCTAGACAACAGTTATGATTTTCAGTTACCACAGAAAATTGCCCATTCAAATAAGGGTTTGAGTCCCAGTGTGAAAATCAAGTATGAAATGCGGGCACATCCAGCTGACGAGTCCCAAACAGGAGGAAACGCGTGTCCTGAATTCCACAGCTGATGAGATTTAGCAACTTCGACGGATGCATATATGTGCCTGGTCCTACCGACAGCAAGAATGTTGCAAAACTTCTCATTTTTAGTTAGAAAACATGAAAGATGTTTGTCATATAAATTATATAAAACGCTATAATTTTTCAAATCAATTGTATAATATACCAGCAGTTCTGAAACTTAGTTGAATATATATTTTCAAACGATTTTTTAAAACTCAAAATGAATGATTCTTTGGAAAAAGTCAAACTACTACCAATATAACACCGATAAATATTCAGTCTAGTCTTTTAGGGAGTTTCAGTCGGTCATTGGTGATCATCGCATGGCCTAACATGAATCCATGTGAGTCAACTTCGCCGCATCATTCATCCACCCAGTGAGAGAGGGAATAATGTATCAAGTGAAATATAGTTATCGATTTCCCACTGTGTCACTTAACGTATCCGACCATAAATTATGAATATTTCACATCACACCAATCCGGAGTTTTAAATAGTTTAATATGTCTCAGAATATGAGTAAATAATTTCACTTTATAAAGTCTTCATCTGCTCACCTTTTAGTTTTAATCCACTTACTTTAACACTGGATGGCATTGCATATCAAGTATGCCAGCGGTTGAATATGTATGATACATATCCTAATTACCTCAGTTACTAAACACTTGTGATTTGGCTAGTAAACTAAAGATTACTCACTAGATGCTTTCATGATGTATAAGCAACACTTTGAGAATACTTCCTACCAAATGCTTGGAACCTAAGCATGTCTTCTACTCTCATATGCAATATTTCACACAGTTGTAGAGTAATACAGAAAGAACTAATGTGTAATATATTTATCTTTAAACATTAACCGTTGCACCTTCGGCTCACTCAATAATGCTGATGAAATTGTTCAATGTAGTTTACTAAGTAATGGTTAAAAACCAAAAGCCGGTAACAGTTTCTGAGACACAATCTTCATTTCAATGAATGCTTTTGGAATATCTTACTGATCATATTCAAATAGCAACTAAACATCAAAAGAAATTTTATTATTCATAAATTAGAGCAATTTATTAAACTAACCTACCCATGAATCTCGGTGGTAGGAGATCAAATAATAAGGCTTTTTTTAGATAAATAATAAGTCTCTAATCTTTACTATAGTTTATATGTATGACTTACCTTCAATAAGCAGTAAGATGGCTGTGTTTTATAGACTAGACAATAAGATATTTTTATTTCGGTCAACTGAGATAAGTTGATGAACAAGTCTACAGAAAATACGCATAAAAGTAAGAATCTACGGTCGAATAAAAAACAACCGGATGTAAACAAACATTACACACCCAAACCCAGTTCACAAATCCATTGAAGACATTATTAAACAAACATTACCCTAACCTTTGAAATTTTTATGTCAGTAATAAAGCGGTTAGTTATTGTTTCACCTTTTTTGTTTATCTCTTCTCTAGACATTTTTTTCAATTTTTTTACTTTTGACCAACAAAAATTATTATTGTCACATCATTATCATCATCATCATCATTAGCAGCATGTAGTTCAAATAAACAAAGCATTTAGTATTCATTCTTTTACCTACATATGATATCAACAGATGGTGTATGTTTTCAAACCATTGACTGACCACCCAATAAGACAAAGGCGAGATTGGTCAGAATAACGATAATAATTACACAAACAATATTTAAAAACATATATTTCAGTTTACTGTATACCTGTTTAGAATTTTCCGTCTATCCACACATACACAATTGTTAAGAAATGCATGAATCTATACCAACCATCCCTTGAACTAATCTCCAATAGAATTGTCAAATAATTTAGGACAAGAAAGAAAGAAAAATTAGAAAAAATTTCTTAACATTTTGGCTTACAAGCACTAAATGAAATTTCTATGTCATAAAGAGTTTAATGTATAATTGCATTTCGGCCTGTTTGCTTGTGATTCTGTTCTGTTGTTCAGTATGTTTGTAGACGAATCTAATATGAACACTGAAATATATGTGCGCATACATTAGTGTGCGTAGAAAAATATGGTGTATAAAGTAATCAACACACTCATTGTAAAACAATAAAAAAAAGATGATTTGTTTTCTCCACATCTGCCACATTTATGTGTATGGGCATGTTTTACACTACATCTAAGGTTAAGTTTATGCTTACAGTACTATATAAATTAATGAATTTAAATGTATATACAGTGAGTACTAACAATAAATAGGAATAAAGTCTCAACGAATGAATTTGAAGTAAATCCAACGTTTCGTCTGGCAATCTGTTCCAAGCTTTTTAAAGGAATTTTAATCATATAAATAAACTCGGCGCTCAAATACTGTGAAACTATTCACTCTAATTTAGACGAAAGTTCCTATATATGAGTACTTACAATATATGTAATATGAATGTTAAACCTGCATCAATACAAAAATGTAAACATATGATATTATTTTTATTATTATCTTCATTATTTCAACCATTATTAAAAACAGTGGTATTTTTTAATTCAAATGTATATTTTGTAACTGGTCAGATTGTAAATATACCTCATAAATTTAACTATCAATTTAGTAAATCCTTTTCAACTAGTATAAAGCCAAGAAAAATATTCTATCAACCTTTAATAATTTCATTTATATCAAAATTGGATTATAATAGTGAATTTAAACGAAGACAAACAAGAAGTATATCAGTTAGATCTCTAACTACATCAAATAAATGTCCACAAGTAAGTTTTGATTGAATTTATTAAAAAACTATTTACATAAACAGTGGTTGGTAAGTTTTTTCTAAATTTGGAAATGACGATCGGTTTTGTGTTAAGAATTCAATGGTGTCTGTAAGTCAAAAGGTCTAGGATGAAATGCAACTTCACAAATGGCTTCCCTACAGAATTAGTGATTGACTAGCATTATATTAAACTTCACTTAGTAACAAAATCGAGGATTTGAAATTTTCAAATGATAAAAAAGTTGGAAATAATCTAGAGTTATAGATCATTTCTAATTTCCAATTATAATTTAGATTATTCAACAGTAATAATCTTTTATTAAAGTATGAAGGAATGTAGTTTGATGGTATTTTTGACTGGCTGATTGATATATTAGCTAAATTTCTTCATTCATATTTGTTACTAACCTTATATTCCATAAATCCAACTTATTGTTTACGTTACGTAGGAAAGATTATATTCAAGTCATCTCTAATGTACAGTCGGAATAGAAAATGGATTTCTTTTTTTAGGCAGATCAACATCACACACATTACTTTGAAATAACTAAAAATAGTTTGAATATTTAGTTTTCCCAACTATGAAGTTAGAGATTGTTCTGTTTACGTAATATACTAGGCTACTCATTATTTAGATTTTATTCGGTTAGTAAAAATATCTAAAAAGCACCATTTATTTCACATGAAGTTTCATTGTTATCTGAGTAAAACAACTGAAATTTAGGAAAAAAGTATTGACAAATGAGGTTACATACTAATCAAGGGGGTAAGGAAGAAAATAATTTATGGGTCAGATAATAGTCACGTTACATAGGCCGCACAAAGCGATCACTTTCCAAACGCATCTCGGAACACTAACCGACTTGGCTCTTAAAAGGAGAATGTAAAAAAATTACTAGTTTGATACAGGAGCATTTCATTAACTGTGGACACATCACTCCAAAGGACTCTTCTTTTAAAGTAATCTATAAAGTCAAAGGAACCGGATCGAAGGGGGGATCAAAACAATATTTTATGCAATGCTGAGGCATTGGCAATCCACGAAAAAAATATTGATTTAAAATCTGATCAAATAAAACCTTTTAAATATAAATTTAATATCAATAAATAAAATGAAATCACAATTATGAATTAAATAAAAAAAACATGAAAATATTCTAAAATTATTATGATTTCACAATTTTCAAATAATCTTTACGAAAACATATTCTGTAATATAACCAAGTATAAGCTTTGATTCTATTGAAATCATCTAAAGTAATTTGCATTGATTCCTTGTTAAATAAATATTATTAGAAGGGGGTTTTGTGGAGATTTTAGTGATTTTATATGGTTGAAATCATGAGTCAATGGAAGCTAGACCACCATGGAAAACCTGGACGGCCGTTTCGTCATATTGTGGGACTCCTCAGCAGTGCGCATCCACGATCCCGCCTCGCAAGATTTGAACTCAGAACCTATCAGTCTCGCGCTTGACCACCAAGTCCGTTGGGAGATATCAACTCACTGAAGACTATTGGTGAATGGTTCCTCAACTTCGTGGATTGGTTAAAGCTAGACATTAACACCATCGGATGCCGGCTCAGTGGTCTATCGGCTAAGTGCTCTGACGCGAGACTGGTAGGTCATGGGTTCAAATCCCGTGAGGCGGGATCGTGGATACGCACTGCTGAGGAGTCCCACAATATGACGAAACGGCCGTCCAGTGCTTCCAGGTTTTCCCTGGTGGTCTAGCTTCAATTGACTCACACTTTCAACTACGTAAAATAAATTTTAATTGAAAAGTAAGAAATTATTGGTGACAACAAAAAATGTCAGTAATATTGTTGTGAATTCAATTAGTACATTTTATTGAGGAAGAAAAGTGAATTTAACTACTTACGGAACCTTTTTACTGATTTTTTAGTATATATATACATATATCGTGAACCTGGTTTACTGTATTTTGACTAAATAATCTAAATTTTTCTTAATTGTTGCGGAACATAAAGGTCAGGAGTAGGTAACCTGGTAGAACGGAGAATATACATCCGTGAGGATAGCTAAACTATGACAAAGTATCTGCCTATTAATCACTTATTTTCATCACTTCTCTCATTGATATTACTCGGTAGCAAAAATAACTGTTACACTTCATAAACATTTATGAATATGATTACATAAAAACGTGAGAATTATTGGCAGTGATTACACAATTATTTATTAATAAATAGCAACAATCGATAAATACAATTTAATAAAAGTTGAAAATAAACTTACAGCTGGAAACAGGTAATTACAGGACAATAGTATTAATGGCAATTCTCAGTTTTCGTCATTTAGCTAACCAGTTCAATAGTCGTAAATACGGCTGGTATCAAAAAGTTTCTGATAAAAAATATGATGATCATTAGTTTCTGTCTGTATTCACCTAAGTAGAAATTTTTATTTAACGAAACGCAACAATCGTTTTCCATGTTAACAACAATCTACTCCCAGCTGAATTATGGTAAATAACATTCATGTTGAATACAAGCTAATTGGTAACATGATAAGGATATCACTATAATTCATATAGTAAATTTAGGATTTAAAGCTACTATTTAAGGAACAAAACAATCCAAACTATTCTTTACATAGATATTCAGTTGATACTGTCTTAATTGACCTTTTTCTATAATCATAGATATAGGTAATATTTCTATTCAATGGAACATTTTGAGAAGGATATCACTGAAAATACTAAACTTTGTTAAGTATTTCTATTAAAAAAAATAATTTCAAGAATTTCTCAAAACCTGTTAAACTTTTACCAATAAAATATTGTTCAAAATCTATTTCTATTCACTGAAAAATACAAAACTATCACTTAAAACATCATTGAAATCAAACATCAGTTCCTTCATGAATTTTCGAAGATAAAAACCAATTTAATAATGAATTATTTATAACATAAAATAGTAAGTATCGAGTATGCATTACATAATGAATAAGATAAAAACTTCTATTCACAGTCATCTTAATATCTATATCATTGTATAAATAGTAGATTATCAAATAATAAATAGATTTTTATTAATTATCAGAAGGGGTTTAGTGGAGATTTAGTATTTATCATAGTTGAAAGCGTGAACCAATTGAAGCTAGACCACCAGGGAAAACCTGGGAACACTGGACGGCCGTTTCGTCCTATTGTGGGACTCATCAACAGTGCGCATCCACGAACCCGCTCTCGCGAGATTCAAACCCATGACCTACCAGTCTCGAGCTGAAGCCCTTAACCGATAGACCACTGAGCTGGCATCCAGCGGTGTTAATGTCCAACTTCAACTGATCCACGAAGTTGAGCAACCATTCACCAATTGTCATCAGTGAGTTCCTATCTCACAACAGACGTGGTTTTGAACTCCACTGGTCACTGCTTCTCACTAGAGCTCCTAGATATACTTCTCGAAGTCACTATTAAGCATATGATTATATTAATTATCAGAAGGGGTTTTGTGGAGATTTAGTATTTATCATAGTTGAAAGCGTTTTTTGTTATATCCCAATTAGTAGGAAAATTGTATTTCTGACGTTTCGTAACCTAATGTAAGCCACCTCTTGAGAGTAAATAAATAACCGACATAAAATTAACATAAATTTATTATTAACTTCCTATTCAATGTTCAATTTATTTGAAACTATCAAGTCCAACCTCAGTATAGATACCTAATAGATTATCAAATGTCTTTTAAAAAAATGAAAGTCCCAATTTCTAGAGGCAAAAATAAATTTATCCTAAAATAGTTAAAATATGTCAATATAGTATTTGAGAATTGATAATTCATTGAAACTTTCAAAATTTTATTCACAACAAGAAATATGAATAATAATTTTCTTAAATGTTTCCGACTATTTGGTCAGGATGACTAAAACTTTTATAGTATGAAACTTCTATTTTAAATGTACCAGTTTAGTTAATATCTTTATGGACAAAATACTCAATAATGTACATTGTTCAGAACTGATTAAGTGTTCACTGATCTTTGGATATCATTACATATGAATAAGTCGTTTGTTATTTAGTTTATTTTGTCCCATATAAGTGTGCAGCATGTTGTTTTACTGGATAGGAATAAGCTTGTCTATTGGTCGATTGTACTATATTCTGTTATTGATTCAACTGGGAGAGAGACTTTATGTCGTTGTCAATCCGCCATACTTAACATTAATTATAACAATCAGACACAATTATAAACCATCAATTATAACTTTAATTAAATCGTCAGAGATAAACTTATCGTATTCGATAACAAGATACTTAATAATATATTATACATATTTTCAGTATAATTTAACAGTTACTGATTTTTTCTTTCACATTAGCTAACACATTTCTAGGTTGTTGATTCTTTTTTAGTTCAAGAAGGTTAGTAGTGTGAAATACACTGTACATTGACTTTCAGTATGACTGAAGTGCTTTCATAAACTTATTATTAGTAAATGAATGTAAAACTTTCCTTTACTGTTGCAGTAAAATCGTTTAAAGTAATTTTTTAGACAGTAAAATTTCACTAAGTTGTTTCACTACTAAAAAAAGTATAATTTCAAAAGTAATTAACAAACATTTGTTAATTTTTTCTATTACCCAACTGTGATGATTGACAATCAGGGTTATTGTCACTTGATAAGCATTTCGATTTTCACGGTGTTTATTGATACATTTTGAGAATGAAGCAGTTACATGAAAAATATGAGGAATTTAAACGCTCGAATGAGACTGAAGCAAATGTTAACTATGTATCCCTTAGTAAAGTATTTGGTAATGCATTAGCTAAAATTCCTTGATCACAGAAAGCATCTTTTATGTGCTGATAAGTAAACCAACCCATTCATTGAAAGGAATGACGTTATCCACATAGATCATATTTCAACAAACGCTTTTAGATATTTGGTAAAAATACTAAAGGCACAAACTCACATCACGTTATTTGACAAACTAAATCATCAATGAGTTACATATATTATTTGTCTAAT